CCCTGGACGCCCGGCTGTCTCGGTGTTGACGGGCGGTGCTCTGAGCGCCGCAAGCGGCAGCAGCTTCCTGAGCACGTCTACAGTAGGAGCCCCTGACGCGCCTCTGAGCCCGATCGATATTCGCATCATCTTCGCTCATCTGGAACAGTGCGCAGCGTTCGCCGACGAGATGGTGGCCCAGCTTCAGGGCGCAAAGGGTACCATGGCTGCCAGTGCTTCTGCGCCACTGGCCGAGTCAGAAGATGTTCAAGACGATCGGATTGGACAATTCTTCCTGAAAATGGTGAGTGGCGACCCGGCATGGATCGTATCGCAGGCAGCACTCTTACCGATTTCACGTCCCATCATCTTAGATGCCTCGCATCGAGTCCATCTACTCGGCATACTGCTCTCGGCACGAGGCGTCCATCAGCAGGCTACAAGAGCTTACGCTCAGCTCCAGCAAGGCTTCAGTCTTCTTGAAAGAGTGCACAGAGGCGGCAAGGGTCCAGTGAGTGTGACAGACGTTCCCCCCGCGTTCTGCAGTCGACTCATCCGGCTCATCGCGAGACCCTTCTTTTGTGCGCAGTACGAACGCTTGGGACCTTGCTTCACTCTTGATCAAGCCGGTTCAGCGAGTACTCAAGTATCCCCTACTCATCCAACAGATCCTCACAAGCACGCCAGCTAGCCATCCTGACGAGCCGAACTTGAGAGCCGCTCTGATGGAAATACAGCAGGTCGCGGACAATATCAACGAGGTGAAGAAGCGCAAAGACCTCGTCGAGAACATTCTCACTGGCAAAAGCGCTCCGAATATGCAGAGGACCGCAAGCTCGACCAAACGGCCAAAGCGGAAAAGCGACAAAGCCAAGCATGTCTTGGCTGGCCCATCGATCGAGCCAATCACAGATGACTATGTGCGGCTATCCGCTCAGTTGCACACTCTCAGACGCAACGTGCATCGATTCACGCGGCATTGCCTAGATTGGTCGCGCGCACAGAAGAACGCGTACGAGTCGGAGATCGCCTTGACGTTCCAAATCGGTTCGGTCTATCGACTGGGTCTAGATGCAGCCGCAATCCAGGAGGAAGCCGGAGCTGAAACTCCCGACACTAGGCAGAGCGCGGCCTGCGAGATGCTTAGAGGACTGGTCAATGGGCCATGGCGTCAAATGGACAACGACATTCGCTCCACCATTCTGCCAATGACGCAGCGCATTGAGCAAATGTTCGAGAATCCGATTGCAGTTCTTGCGAAACGGGACGAACGAGAGTCTGATTACCAGCGATATCGGGCCGCCTTGGCAAAATCGGACAAGGTTCCAGACAAGAAGCTTGTCGATAGCGCCAATGCGTTTGTGGCTCTGCACGCACAGCTGCTCGATGAGCTGCCTCAATTCATTTACGGAGTGCAGACGCTTTTGGATATTGGCGTACAAGCTTTTGCTCGGCTCCAAGGGACGCATCATCTGCAAGCAAAAAGAGCGCGTTTGGCTTACTGGTCAGAGCATGCCTACGCCTCGAACGAGCTGGCGATCCATCCCGGAACACGAGAACTAACGCTCAGACACGTGCAAACTGTTCGAGTGTTCTGGCACGCTCACGAGGAGGCTGCTTCTTTCGCCGAGACTCTGGTCATCGCCAACCGAGATCAAGTGTCCCTTCAAGAGCCTGCGCAGCCGCAAGACCGCTTCATAATTGCAGCGCAAGCAGATGATAGCAGGCAAGTCATCAGCTACGACCCTCAGCTCGCAACTTCATCGCGCCCGTCAGGACCGGCTCTGCTCGCACCTCCGGGCACAAGCGGCAGGCGACCTAGTGGTGTTGCAGGTCTAATGCGAAGCCTAAGTGGTAATTTCAGTCGCGAACACTCGCCAACGGGTGAGAAGGTGCCACCACTCCCGTCCGGTGCGAGCGCGTTAGCGGCCGCCTCTCGCACTGCCGAGAATCATGCTCGAGTGGCCGATCAACCCCCGGCTCTGTCGTTGACCTTCAAGAGCGGAAGCTCTTCTCGAGATTCTTGGTTCGTCCTTTCCGGAGACGCCAATTCTCTGCCTTTCCTCAGTCCTCCAGCAGAAGGAGGCCCTCAATTGGAGCCGTACGATCTTTCGCCTGCGCAGACGACGAAGCCGCTGCCCGACGAGCCCAAGGCGGCAGACATGCCTCGCTCCGTTGAGGAAAGTCGAGCTCGGCCTCTGCCCCAGAATCGTCACAAGATGCGGGTGATCGCGTTGCTCACAGCTCAAGCCGAAAGTCCTTTGAGAGATCCTGCGGGCAGGTTAGGCTGGCCATGGCTCGCTTTTGCCCCTGGGGACAATATCGCGGTCTTGTCTTTTGACAAGAGCGACGAAGCAGTATTGGCTTTCGGACGCGGTGCCGATGGAACGCTCGGCTGGGCCGAGCGCGATCTTTTCGTCGAAACACGCGACTCTTCCTCCACAACCCATGACGTCGAAGGATGAGACCGGTTGGAGGTGCCTTCAGACTCGCTCTACCCAAAAACTTCACTTTTCGCGAGGTTATCGCTCAAATGCATCACGCGTCCTTGCTGGGGTGCTTAGAGCACAGTGCACAACGAACACTTTCACGACCATGCGACTCACTTGCATCTCTGAGAGATCAGTGCTACCCCCCTTGTAATCATCTACTTGACCTCTGGCGACCCAGGTGTTTGTGTGACACCCTTTGTACTTGATCGAATGAAACGTCATTGGCACTCTGCGCTTCGACTGAGCTAGCCACGAGCCTACCTTTCCGCAGGCGCTGGTGTGATCAGGCAAAGCACTAGAGCGCTCGCATGCCTCTAGAGTACCTTGAGGGTGATGCAGAAAGATGACTCGATGATTGTTTCGTGGCACGAGCCTGCAAGCGCTACCTAAAGCTTCTGTGGGCTCCTTTGCATGACAGCCCGAGTCTCCAACCATCTGGAGAGAATGCAATGACCAGTGCATACTTCTTGGCGCGCGCGCACGTCTTCGAGAGGGCTGGCTACCTCAAGTTGGAAAAGGTGACGCTCTTGGCGTCTAAGCTGAGACCCGTTTTGGGATCGATACCGTTTGCCCTCATACGTTCTTCGTGCAAGTAAAGTCGAGCTCGGTCGAATGTCTGCCGAAAGAGAGGCGAGGCAAAGAACATGAGCAAAGGTTCACGCAACACGACGATCGATTTGCGCCGAGTGTGGAAAGATGACCAGCGTCGAGATGTGATGGTATGAGCAAAGCTGATTGTATTGGTCTCCATGCCGATACAATGCTCGTTCCCCAGCTCGGCCACAGAGCTGTTCTTCAGGTGCGCTTCAGAGACTCGATGCGAATCGCCGCGCAGTCTTGAGCAGCTCTTGTTCAATGA